AGGGGGTCCCACAGCATCCTCCTCTGCAAGCCCCCAGGGGAGGCAGTGGCCAGCAAGGGCCCCCGTGTTTAGCAGCAGGTCACACATCTACAGCCCTGGGTCACAGACCAAGCCCCAGGCAGCAGCACCCAGAGCACAGACCACTCCAAATCCAACACACCTCCAGCACAGAGCAGCAGTTCTCCCCCAAGTGCAGCAATCTCCTCCGCAACAGCTCCGCAGGGGAGCAGGGATGAGGTCAGCTGCTTTTCCCCTGGCTCATTCTCGGGGCACATCACCGATGTGGGGTGCGACGAGCTCAGATCTGCGTGGTGTCCTGGCCCGCGGGTGCCGGCTGCAGCCCCTCCAGCTGATGGAGGACTTCATTTATGCTGGGTCGCTCCTGGGGGTTCAGCATCATCATGGAGGAGAGCAGGCGCTGCAAGGCAGCCGAGTACCTGGAGGAAAGACAAGGGGGAAGTCTGCATGGCGCACTGTGCAGGGGGCTGCCTGGGAGCAGGGTTGCCCTCCCCAGCCCCTCACCTGGTTGTGGGGGGCACGGCGATAGGGTTCTGCACTGCTAGAGCCACGCTGTCGCCCTTCTGGAAGATGGCGTCGTAGGGGCCCTCTCCAAACATCATGCAGTACAGCACACAGCCTAAGGACTGGAGCGTGGAGGGGTCAGGGCAGCCCCATGGCGGTGGGACAGGGGCAGGGGGGGCCAGGTCCTTACCCAGATATCTGTGCGCTCATCTATGACACACTGGCTGGGCACTGTGAAGAGCTCGGGGGCACGGTAGGAGATGGTGCAACGCTGGGCAGCCCAGTCCTGCAGAAAGGAGGGTGAAAGCAGGGATGGAGGGCTCAGGACAGGGATGGGCTTGTGGAGTGACACCCCATGGCACCCACCTGCACGGCCATCGCCTTCTGAGAGCTGTTGACTTCGATGCGAGCTTGATTCATGGAGCCCAGGTCCATCAGCACGGGCTGGTCATCTTCATCCAGCAGCACGTTGGTGGGCTTGAGGTCCCTACAGGGATGGATGTCACTTGAGTGCCTGCTGGGCCCCCTTCCAGTCACCCCCCCACCCCCAGAGCTGGGGATGCTGGTTCCCCACCTGTGTGCATAGCCCTTGCTGTGCATAGCTTGCAGCCCACGGCAGATGCCATGGAGGATGAGGAGGATCCGCTGCTCTGGCATAAAGGTCCCTTTCTTTCGCAGTGCTTCCACCTCGCTCCAGAGGGTTCCCCCCTGGCAAACACAAGCAGACAGTTATCACAGCCGCTCCCAGTGGCAAGGGAGTGGGGTTGGCCAGGGAAGACCCCCTCACCTTCATGTAGGGCAGGAGGAGCCAAGCTTCGTGCTTGGCATCCTTCTCCACCATGCAGTGGGCCACCAGGCGCAGGATGTTGGGGTGGTCGAAGAGGCCGTGCATCTTCACCTCATGCAGGGCGGCCTGGCGGTCCTCCTTGTCGTGGCACAGGATGCGCTTGAGGGCATAGAAGCGCCCGTCCCCCTGCCCCTCCCCCAGATCCACATAGCTGAAGCCTCTGCAAGGAGCCAAGCGCAGCATGGGCTGGGTGTCACACCGCTGTGGTGCCCACGTCGGGGCCTCGTGCCCAGCCTCAACTGTGAGCACCCAGGGGAGGGGGGACAGAGGGCAGTGGGTGCCTGCACCCCTCTCCATGGGAATCTCCCAGGCATGCCCATTCCCCTCAACTTGGGGATACCTGCCAGGCACCCAAAACATCCCCCCTCTGCATGAACAACCCCACTGGCCCAATCACCCCAGTCCCATGGGTCCAAGCACCTACTCTTGGGCATCACTGACCCCTGTCACCCAGCAAGACAACCCTCCTCCATGCCCAAACATCC